CTGCCACCCCGGTCTGCCACCCCATTGGCACCGCCCCCCAATCGCCACGCAATGTTGAAGAGACGTGTCAGCCAAGACAGTCCTACAACATCCAGAGACTTTAGATAGTAAGGACGGATCTCATCCACTCCCAGCGCCTTGCCACCAAGGAGGCTGCAAACCACCTTGGTAACCTCAGCCAGGGAGATGGAAGTATCCGCCCCAACATCCTCAGCCTCTGCCGTCCACCGGCAGACAATATCCTTACACTGTCCGACAATATCCACAGTCGAGGTCAGCAGCTCTCCACCCTCATCATACCCTCCTGAGGCGCCGGACGGTTTGCCAGAATCTCTTCGAGGCCGACCGATTGTCATGCCCCATGGACTCTCCGAACTCCTCCCAGTCCCGGGTTTTTGCCTCTGCGACAGCCCTGGCGGCCTGCCTGTCCCACGAACCATCATGGCTCGATAGGACTCCTTCAGCCTGACGGCATCCCTTACTAACGGTGTCCACCACTGGGTTCGGGGGTTGCCGCCGGGATCAGCACCAGAGTCATTGCGACCACAGCTACGAGCTGCAGCATCGGTGATAGAGGCGGAGAACATGGTCCACTCCGATGTCCCCCTCCTCCCCCGGGACCTGGGAGAAGCTCTCCCGCAGGTGTGAGTTGAAAGTCCGCCTGACAGGGGGCTCAGCGAGATGTTCCCAGGAGACCCTCACTACACGCTTGGGTCTGCCAGGTCTGACCGGCTTCCTCCCCTGCCAGCAGATCCAACTCACGACCAGGTGGTGATCGGTTGACAGCTCCGCCCCTCTCTTCACCCGAGTGTCCGAGACACTCGGTCGAAGGTCAGATGATACGACAACAAAGTCGATCGACTTCCGGCCTAGGGTGTCCTGGTGCCATATGTGCACTGATGGACACCCTTGTGCTCAAACATGGTTTTCGTGATGGACAAACTGTGACTGGCACAGAAGTCTAACAACTGAACACCGCTCGGGTTTAGATCAGGGGGGCATTCTTCCCGATCACCCCTCTCAAAGTGTCACTAGCATTTCCCACATGGGCGTTGAAATCCCCCAGGAGAATAATAGTGCCTGGGCGATGCACTGTCCAGTACCCCTCCCAGGGACTCCAAGAAGGCCGAGTACTCTGCACTGCCATTAGGCCCATAGGCCGTCACAACAGTGAGAGACTTGTCCCCCACCCGGAGGCGGAGGGAAGCGACCCTCTCTTTCACCGGGGAGAACTCCAACACGTGGCGGCTGAGATGGGGGGCAATGAGAAACGCCACCCCCGCTTGCCGCCTCTCCCCGCGAAAAACGCCAGAAAAGTGGAGTGTCCAACCCCTGTCAAGGATTTGGGTTCCAGAGCCCAAGCTGTGTGTGGAGGTGAGGCCGACTATCTCTAGTCGGTATCTCTCAACATCCCCCACGAGCTCTGGCTCCTTCCCCCCCAGTGAGGTGACGTTCCACGTCCCAAGAGCCAGATGTTGTGTGTGCGGACTGGGTTGTCGAGGTCTCCGCCTTCGACTGCTGCCCAGTCCTCTCCGCACCTCTCCACCACGGATCCCTCTGTGGGTGGTGGGTCCACAGGAGGGCCTGCCCACGTCATCCCTTCGGGCTGAGCACCATGCCGGGCGACGTCACTGTTCTCACTAACGTGCTATCCATGGTGAGTTTTGGACTGCGCTTCGTCTGACTCGTCACCTGAGACCTGTTTGCCATGGGAGGCCCTACCAGGGGCATGAAGCCCCAGACAACATAGCTCCCAGGATCATCCGAGTACTCAACTCCCCCATCACGATAAGGTGGCAGTCCAGGGGGGGAGGGATCAGGGATTTGTTTGCATCTTAAATTTTGCAGAAGCACGTTGTTCCAATATGAACTGCCTGCCTTGAGTTGAATCAGAATAATTGTTATTGCCGCGTAGGTAACAGGAAGTCAGACTTGGAAATTGCTTTGGCTCAGTGCAACAGTCAGAGAGATAATAAAAAAAGAATAAAAAACACTTCTAAGGAATACATTTAAATTTAAAATAGAGTTACAGTTACTATTTACAATATACAAGTGCACATGGTGCACACAATGTAAGGTGACAGCAGTACAGTGAAGTAAAGTGACTTTATAAAGGGCGGGGGGACAGGTTAAGAAGTGTTCAAGAGTCCAACAGCAGAGGGGAAGAAACTGTTCTTGTGGCGGGAGGTTCTAGTCCTGATGGACCGCAGCCTCCTGCCTGAGGGGAGTGGTTGGAATAGTCCATGTGCAGGGTGAGAGGGGTTGGCTGTGATACAACCAGCCCGGCCTCGAGCTCGGGCGACGTACAGGTCCTGCAGCGATGGAAGGCTGCGGTCGATCACTTCCTCTGCAGAGCGCACAATGCGCTGTAGTCTCTGTTTGTCCCTGACTGTGGCTCCAGCGAACCACATGGTGATGGAGGAGATGAGGATGGACTCGACGATGGTCGTGTAGAACTGCACCGACATCTGTGCAGGCACCTTGGCTTTCCTGAGCTGCCGCAGGAAGTACATCCTCTGCCGGGCCCTCTTGATATGAGGGAGCTGATGGTCGGCTCCCACTTGCGGTCCTGGGTGATGGTGGTGCCCAGGAAACGATAGGGCTCCACAGAGGTGATGGGAGAGGACCAGGCGTTCAAATGACTTCATGACGACAGAGCTACAGGTCTGTAGTCATTGAGTCCTGTGAGTCCTGTGATCCTGGGCTTCTTCAGGACGGGGACAATGATGGAGGATTTGAAGCAGGCCGGGACATGGCAGGACAGCAGAGAGGTGTTGAAAATGTCAGTGAACACAGGAGTAAGCTCACTGGCGTAGTGTCTCAGAGTGGCCGGAGACGCGTGGTCCGGGCCAGGAGCTTTGCGGGGGTGCAGCCTCAAGAAGAGTTGTTTAATCTCTTTAGAGGCTATTGTCAGGCTGGGGGCAGGGCTGATGGGTGGGTCGTTAGAGTAGTGGGGGGTGGGGGAGGTGTCGGGGCCAGCATCAAAGCGACTGAAAAAAAAGTTCAGTTCGTCAGCTAGCTTGTGCTCGTCAGCACGGGGGGGGGGCCTTGGGCTTGTAGTTGGTGAACTCCTGTAGGCCCCTCCAGACAGAAGCAGTATCATTGTTAGCCAACTGCTCCTGTAGTCGTTCTCTGTGCCGGGACATGGCTGCTTTCAGTTCTTTCCTGAACTGATATTTAGCTGCTTTGTAGCCGCTGCGGTCCCCCTCCCTGAAAGAAGACTCCTTTGCTTTCCTGAGCTGCCAAAGTTTAGCAGTGAACCAGGGTTTGTCGCTGTTTGTCCTTGTTGGAATAATGCTATCCTCGCAGAAGTGAATGCATGACGTCACAGTATCCGTGTATTCATCCAAGCTGTCTGTGGCAGCTCTGAAAAGGTCCCAGTCTGTAGATTCCATGCATGCGCGCAGCTCTTCCACAGCTTCATCAGACCACACTTTGGAGCTCCTCACTACAGGTTTCGAGAGCTTTAGTCTCTGTCTGTAAGCAGGGATCAGATGTATCATGGAGTGATCTGAGAAGCCGAGGGCTGGCTTGGGAACAGCGCGAAAAGCTCCGCGCACGGTGGTGTAACAGTGATCCAGAGTGTTCTCCTCTCTGGTCGGGCATTTGATAAACTGTCTGTATTTGGGTAATTCCTGGCTCAAGTTTCCCTTATTAAAATCCCCCAGGATAATAATCAGAGAGTCCGGGTATAAACGCTCCATATACAGTACTTGCTCTGCGAGTGCACGCTGAGCCTCGCGCGCGCGTCCGCGCATGGCGGTATGTAAACAGAGGCAAGAATGAATGAAACAAATTCACGAGGGGAGTAAAATAGTTTACAATGAATGAAAAGATATTCCAGAGCAGGAGAACAGTGCTTGGAGATCACTGTCACATCGTTACACCAGTTTGTATTGACATAGAAGCACAGCCCACCCCCTCTGCTCTTTCCTGATAGCGCACAATGGCGATCCGCGCGAACAGCTCAAAACCCTGCAGTTCCAGAGCACTGTCCGCGATCCACTCATTTAGCCAGGTCTCAGTGAAGCAGAGGACACAGGATGTGGCGAAGTCCACGTTTCTTCTCATGAGCAGGCTGAGTTTGTTCATCTTATTGGCCAGTGAGAGAAAAATGCCGGGGAGAGCCGTGTGCGCTCCTCTTCTCCTACGACGAACGAGCAGGTCTCCGCGCTTTCCCCTTTTACGGACCCACACTTTTTTGGCTAGAACATGAACTAAATCAGCCGCAGATGCCAAGACAATGTTCATAAGTTCCTCACGGGTGTAGGAACAGCCAGATGCACAGTTAAAAAGTAAAAGCAAAAGAGAGCAGCAAAGAGCCGTGTCGACCGTACGAGGCGCCATCTTGAGATCAAGATTAAACAAATGAGTCGTTTCATTTGTTTAATTTCTTAATATATCTTGCAGTTAAATGATCATATTTGTAAAATTAAAACTGATATGAAAAAAAGCGCTTTGTTCCTACCTGAACTGACTCCTAGAGGTTCATTAAAAAAAGTATTTAAAAATCGGCAAACTTATTTTTGCTGTAGTTTTTTGGGGGTTGTTATATCCTGTAAAAAATATTGGGATGTTTATTGTATAACGAGATAGTTTTGCTGTAGTTTGCCCAGCCCTAGGTTCACCATTGCGCTTCAATATTAATGGGACATAGTTTTAAGATCCATCCATGCTAACAAAAGGAACTTCTGGGACAAACATGTAACTCCGCCCCTTCTGTCTAAATGCTCTTGTCTCAATACTCCTGCTATATAGTACGAATTTTATAATTAGAATAAATGGAATAAAACAAAACAAATTTTACAACACTCTCTGGAAGCATAGGGAGTCACATTCCTATAGCATTATTTACTCTTGATACTTGTGTCACCATATCTTTTCTACTGAAGGTACATTCTAAAACATGATAATGGCAAAGTAAAGGGTCTCATCATTTTTAATGGCCCTAATTAAAGCATAATAATTATTCTTTATTAAAATATGAACTTTTTTTTCAGCCAAGTCGCTGCGTGAACCAGATAGAGGAAGTTTGTCGTGCCGTTGAGAAAACAATCAATCAGACCGTTCAGAACACACTCAACTCTTTGGAGAAAGACTGTGAACTTATCAGCGAGGCCATTACGGACACACTAGCCAACGATCGGTAAGACGTGTTCCATTTTAAGCAATGTTGGGCAATTTACTTTAAAAAACATAATACATTATGTATTACTTGTTCTTATCTGTTTTAAAACATTGATCTGTCATCTGTTGTATAGACTGCTTGTCTCTGCTCTTAAGCAAATGCCAACTGCTGAGCGAAGGGGCGGAGACAAAAGACTGGCCCAACAGGCTCCCGGACCAACATTATTAGGCCAAGTCAATACGTAGTATTGGGGAGGCCTATTGTTATTCCCCGGTTTCATATTATTAGGCCGAGCCATTCCGTAGTATAAGATAGCTTTCCTCCATGTGCGCATTACCCATGATGCTTTGCGCGAATGCCATGTTGTGTGTCAAGCTTGTTTTGCACGGATCTGTCACGGATTTGTCACTGATCATCTGTCACAGACAATTTGTCCCCATGTCATCTAAAGCCACGAATTCGGCCGACGCTGACCGCGTTAGGTACAATACAATACAATACAATACCTAAATCACAACAGAAGTCATCTCAGAGGACTTAACAAAACCATTGAAATCACCAACACAGATCAGAGAATCAACAGTTAAAACACATAAAGAATATAGAACACATGTTGAAAAATGTCCATACATGTTGTAGAATGTTAAAGTCTCCTGGATCATCACCACAGTCCTAGGTATATTGATACACTGGACATAATCTGTAAGGCAAGCTACTTGGAGAAATTGAGTGATTGAAGATTTGGATCCATATGAAATGCGGCGAGACCAGTGGACTTCACCAGAAATGGCTTACTTTCACTTATCGGTTTTACAATTAAAATTTTTGGGTTAATGATAATAATAATTTTGGGTTAAAATGCAATGTAACACCCCTACTGAGCTTTGTACCAAGTAAATATTACCCAGTTTTTTCTGTAATTCCTTTGAGTAATTGCATTACTTTTGTAATACATTACTCCCAAAATTTGGGTTGCTGTACATATCGTAAATGCGGAAACAGCTGTTTGTTGATGCGTTTTGTTTTTGTTCAAAGGGAGATGACTTCAGATAACCGGCGTGCTCGCTGTAAGAGCTGCTTCCTTGCGCTGCTGGGCTTTAGCGTGCCGTTGGCACTTATTGCTCTACTGGTATTGGGCACTTTGTCCAAAGAGCTGCTAGAAGTGACACTGGGTTCAGAGGGAACAGAGGCTCTATCTGTATATCTGGTGAGTGTCCAAAATTCAACAGCCTTTTTATTTATTTCAAACATTGTTAAGAAAGGAAGACTAAGGGAAATGTTTATGGCTTCCCAAACAGAGATCTGTATAGAAAGTGTCCTGGACTCGAGAACTTATGACACCAAAAAGATGAATAATACATTTGTTTTTATGACGATTCAGAAAGTCTTAAAGCTCAGAATAGCAATGCCATTAGTAACTGTATTCTTGTGATGCCCAGTCCCCCATTGTCCGACTCTTCGACTCTCTGACCGGAGAACAGCAGCTGTACCTGTGCGCTGGCCTCATTGCGCTCTCGTTCTTCTTTCTCATCATTTCACGCTTCTGCTTCAAGTAAGATTTTTAATGCAGCCCATTTTCTTTTGTACTTGTCAGTGAACATTTGCAAATTTGTTTTCTTTACATTCATTAGGACGAGTCAAACCATGTCTGGCAAACAGAGAAGGCAGCTGCAGGAGAAGCTTGAATACATCCAGGAGGTGGTGAAGAGCAAAAAGGCAAGTTGCTGTAGAAGGGAAGAACAAGTCAAAACAGAAGTGTGCTCCTGTTTCACTTATCAACGTGACTTTGCAGAAAGCAGAGGGATGAAATGGGAGCTGAAGTAGGATCAGTGATCGATTCTGCATTGTATTGTGCTCAGAGCCGTTAGCTAGTTTAATTTACTAAAATGTAGCATTCATTAGAAACTTTTGCCAGTAGTTTTTTAGCTGTTCTATTAAAACATTTTGTTAGTCCCAACAGAACAAATCAGACCACAACATGCTGTCTTTATCTTATTAGAGAAAACATTCTCTTTTACATACTCAGAGCTGATTGGCTGAGTTAGGGCTAGTGTTCTGTCAATCAGGTCTTTTATGTGCATGTTTTTTGAGATGCAATTTACTTTATTATCTCACAATGGAGAAATTCAGATCGATGAATAAACATCAAGGCTGGCTGCATACTATATTTCTACGCTCCTCATGACAGTTATTCAACAGCAGAGAGAAAAACAAACATATATTTCAGACAGACATTAACATACAGACATTCGAGGGTGACAGTAGAGCATTGGCCTTTGAGCCAGAAGGTCTTGGGTTCAAGCCCACCTCAAGACTTTCTCCACCGACGCCCACTGATGTCTGCTGTCGTTGTGTCCTTGGCAAGACACTTAACCTCTGGGAACACCTGATGCCACAGTGGGGCGGCTGCGGCTGTAAAGTGCCAAACTGCCGTTGTGTCCTTAGGCAAGACACTTCACCGCCATTGCCTAGAATGAGTCTGGTGTGTGTGTGTGAATGGTTGGTGGTGGTCGGAGGGGCCGATGGCACATACTGGTGGTGTCAGTATGCCCCAGGGCAGCTCTGGCTACATTAGTAGTTTATCACCACCGTGTATGGAGTGAATGAATGACATGTAAAGCGTCTTTTGAGTGTCCAAAAAGGCGCTATATAAAACCAATGCATTATTATTATTATTCTTAGAAGTTTGCAAAAGATAACATGTTTTCTAAAGAAATTACAGACAAAAAGTCTAAATGTGTAGGAGACAGGTCAGGGTACACTGGGTGTGTGTATCTGCGGTTAATGTGTGTGTGGCTCTCTATATCATTTTTGTTTTTGTCTTCGTCCACAAAAAGCCTTTGCTGCCGAAGCAATTTAGTCATAGATTTAGTTGGCAAAATTAACACTTGGTTGTTTTTACACTTATTTTTGTTGTTTGAAAGCTGTTACCCTATCGTTAATTTAATTACCTTTTTTACATCCTTCTTTTCATCAAGTTGAATATGTCAGGTTCGTTTTCTCTTTAAAATGTCCTTTCCTTATTTTCTAGAAAAAGCTCTATGAAGAATACCTGCGCCAGAGTGTCAGTGATCATGACATGGACATGTAAGGGACGTAAAGGCTTAAATTATGCGAAGTACACTCCGATCACTATGATGAAGCCAAGACCAGACCAAGGTTGAAATATTATCTAAGAACGGTCTCTGCCACTGATACTGTTACGCACACTGCCTCTCAAAAATGTATTGTGTCTGCATTTGTATCCACTTTCTGTGCAACTTTTTCCCAGTAAAACCACTACCCTTTTAATTTGAGAAATTGAACTTAGGTTACAGTTGAACATGCCACTTTGAAGTGGCAGCTTTTCTACAGAATGTATTTTGTTCAAATACGACCTGCAAATTTTTTGGATACATTTGTAATCAAACAAATTTTTTTACGGTTGTCTTGGAAACAACTTGTATAATGTAACTCACAAATGTCTAGTTTAAGAAGTGATAATAATAAATGAAATGTGTTTACATGTGAAATGGATCTCATTTCTTCTGAGGATGCTTCAAACTCTCATAAAATTATTCAAAGTCATTCATAAAAAACAAATCTAGAGTTGTTTTTAGATTCAGCCACGTTGATATCAGAAGCTTCTGGCACAAATGTGTAACTCCGCCCCTTCTCTCTCTCTCGTTCGGTCTCGTTCTTTTATGTGATCTTGAAAACGCAGAAGTTCCGACTTCCGCTCATGAACTCCGAGTTTAAGATGACATGAAAGGTGCATGAGTCCTGTCATGGTGATGTCATCATACCACCATGACGGCACATTCAGATCAGTATTCTGCCTTTTTTAAAACAAAAATAGGTGTTTCTGTGAAGAGAAATGTGGACTCTGTGGGAGCTGTGCTTGAGAGAAGGATGAGGGCTCTTCTGCAGGGCATCATGGGTAACTCCAGACACCCTCTGTATGACACTATGGCCGCTCAGAGGAGTAATCGTAACAACAGGCTTATGCCGCTTTTCCATAGTCACAGGACGGCCTTATGGTACCTTTTAGTGTGCGAGGGGTTGTCAGACCACGTAATTTACGCAACGCGTTACTAGTAACATTGGTCTGATGCGTCACTTTTTGTCATTTGAAATTAAATGTTTTTATTTCGGGTTAAATACATAACTTCGTTATTTAAAGTGATTGTCTGGAGTTTGTCAGAGAGACAGAGAGGTACTTGATTTGAAAAAAACGACGCAAGCTCCCTCCCCCTTCCTTTCTGATTGGTCTACACCTACGTTTCCGTAACACTTTGAAATGTTAATCAGAGAACATATTATACATATACATTATTAATACACATGCACGGAGGTTTTCAGAATTATTTTTGAACGTTTTATTGAAAAAAAATATGTTTTTATGCACACAAAAAAGCGATCGCGGCAAACCAGGAAGTGCTATTATCATGAATTGCACATTATAGGACACATCTGCAGAGGATCTGATTATGGATATAGGTTCAGTATATACATAAGTACCTCAGCGTGGATGTTCAGAATTCTTTGTTCAGTTTTCATGTAGTTCCAGAGCCTAATAGAGGCTCCGCGAAAACAAACAACTGCGCATGCGTGCAGCTGCTAGCATCAGCGCCGATGATTGACAGCCCTTGGCATGACTCGATTGGTTAACCTCGACGGCACCGTGGATTCTGAACTATAGCTAAGAGCAGGGAAGGCGGGACTTGCCCGTAATATTAGAATTAATAAAATGACTTATTTTATATCAACATTTAAGGCCAGGAGGTCAATTTAACACATTTCCTAAAATTTGTAATTCATTTAGAGTTAGACTATCACTTTAAAATGTATATTGTAAATCTAAGTATCAACTCAAAAAAGGAGTAAGAAGTAATATATGATAAAAATCATGCCTAAACATTTATTTTGACCAAAAATAAAACCTTTTTGTATTTAGCAAAAATGTCTCCATCCTTGTTCATAAATTTACCAAGGTTATACGGATTTACTGACAAATAAAATGCAGTATGAATGTATGTGATATAAATAAAAGTAAAAGTAGATGGTTGGAAATTGTAACTTTTTGAACCCCTTTTTAGCATGTGTATAGACGAATAAATGAAACAAAGTCTTGATACGATCAAAGATTTATTCAAAACAAAAGTATAGTGCAAACCCAACAATTTACAAAGTCAAAAGTATGGATGTCTCTTGAGACCAGGTGAGGGGACGAGTGTTAAAATCGTGTTAAAAATGTTAACGCATTAACGCGTGTACAGAATGACACGCCCATGTATCCAATAGTATCACTCAGAATGCCACGGACACATGCGTGTGTGAGATGGCAACAGAACAGGCAGGCCCCCCAGGAACCTAAGCCCCAAAAGGGCTTGTGCGCGTCCCCGCGCACGCAATAAACACACCAGACCTGTAAGCGTCCGTGTTTTCTTCCCCCCCCCCCGGAAACGCAACCAAACCAAAGCTGGGGTACGTTCATTTTCCCTTTCATTAACGGCTCATGTTGGTTGTGCCCAAAAGTAAAAGGTTGTGAACAAATCAAACAGATTTAAGTACATTTGGTATGTGTCCAAAACGCTAGGCATCGGGCCGCGTATGGTGGAAATGTAGGCATCGTGACGTCACTTCCGCATGCGCCCGGGATTGCAGGGTTGTCCAAAACCACTTGGCGAGCTAGGCAGGGTAGGCATCGTGCCTTCGTCTCCATGGAAACGGCCACTTTTGGAGCAGATATGAAGGATACATGTGATGTATGCTTCGTTGCCTTCTCCAGGTTGAGTTTGCGGGGTTCAATGCATGGTATTTTGTTGGAGAAAGTATGGAGGCACCTGCAGCAGCTACCCCTGTCCCCTCTCCTGCTTTAATGTATTAATGTAAGTATATTTTATATTATAGTATTACTACATGACTAATAACACATATAAAGAAATATTATTTGAATGTTTCGAGACGAATTACGCTATTTCATTTGTTTTAGAGTTATCTACTGCGCCATATGATAGCTTAGTTGTAACTGTAATTTAGCATGGTCACATCCAGCCATCCATTTTCTTCCGCTTCATCTGTTGCCGGGTCGCGGGGGCAGCAGTCTAAGCAGAGACGCCCAGACTTCCTAACCTGGCAAGAGCCAGATTGATGATTGTGTAGAACTATAATGCGTTCTCCACAATATCAATCTGGGACTTCTGCAGGAGAATCGTTTCGGGGAAAGGAGGGATAAGCAGCAGAATACTTCAAGCTGATTGGGCGAAGTGACGCTGTGTGCCTGCCTACCAAGGTTTGCCAAAACCCGTAGGTAAAAATGCACAGCATCTTTGCCCTCCAGAAATGCACAAAGCGCCTCTCGCTGTTAATCTTTCAAAAAAGAAATTGGAGATTCTGCTAAAACTGACTTGATAGCCTCAGCTACGCGTCCGGATATCCCGCCCTAAACCTCCAGACTGGCGCGTGATTGGCTTGAACACCTAGATGTTCTACTCGAAAAGGGTTGGCGGGAGCGGGGCAAGATGTATTCTCGAGTGTTTGTGAACTCACAAATACCGCGAGAATTCAGCTTGCAGGCAAGGTTACAGACTTGCCTATCCACACACACTTCCTCCAGCTCGTCCGGGGGGGACCCCAAGGCGTTCCCAGGCCAGCTGAGGGACATAGTCCCTCCAGCGTGTCCTGGGTCTACCCGGGGTTTCCTCCCGGTGCGACATGCCCTGAACATCTCCCCAGGAGGCGTCCAGAAGGCATCCGGAACAGATACCCGAGCCACCTCAACTGGTTCCTCTCGACGTGGAGAAGCAGCGGTTCTACTCCGAGCTCCTCTTGTGTGACCGAGCTCCTCACCCTATCTCAAAGGGAGCGTTCAGCCACTCTGCAGAGGAAACTCATTTCGACGGCTTGTATCCACGATCTCGTTCTTTCGGTCATTACCCAAAGGTTCGGTCCCTCCCTCCCCATAGGTGAGGGAGGGACCGAAGATTGACCGGTAAATCCAGAGCTTTGCCTTTCGGCTCAGCTCCCTCTTCACCACAACGGTCCAATACAGCAATCGCATCACTGCGCACGCTGCACCGATCCGCCTGTCAATCTTGCGCGCCATCCTTCCCTCACTCTTGAACAAGTCCACGAGATACTTGAACTCCTTCACTTGAGGACCTCTCCACCCACCTGGAAAGCGCAAGGCACCTTTTTCCGGTCGAGCACCATGGCCTCAGATTTGGAGGTGCTGATTCTCATCCCAGCCGCTTCACACTCGGCTGCAAACCGTCCCAGTGCATGCTGCAGGTCCTGGCTTGTTGGAGCCACAGGACAACATTGTCCGCAACAAGCAGTGATGAAATCCTGTGGTCCCCAAACCGGACCCGCTCCGGCCCCTGGCTGCGCCTAGAAATTCTGTCCATAAATACAGTGAACAGAACCGGTGACAAAGGGCAGCCTTGGCGGAGGCCAACATGCACTGGGAACAGGTCAGACTTACTGCCGGCAGTGCGAAAAAGGCTCTGACTCCGGTCATACAGGGACCAAACAGCCCTCAGCAGAGGACCCCGTACTCCCAGACGCCTTGTCCAAATCTACAAAGCACATGTGGACTGGTTGGGCGAACTCCTATGAACCCTCGAGTATCCGATGGAGAGTATAGAGCTGGTCCAGTGTTCCGCGACCGGGACGAAAACCACACTGAATCAGAGATTCGACCATCGGTCGTAGTCTCCTCTCCAGTACATTGGAGTAAACCTTACTGGGGAGGCTGAGGAGTGTGATCCCACGATAATTGGAACACACCCTCCGGTCCCCCTTCTTGTAGAGAGGGACCACCACCCCGGTCTGCCACTCCATTGGCACCGCCCCCGATCGCCACGCGATGTTGCAGAGACGTGTCAGCCGAGTCCTACAACATCCAGAGACTTTAAATCGTCAGGACGGATCTCATCCACTCCTGGCGCCTTGCCACCAAGGAGGCTGCCAACCACCTTGGTTACCTCAGGCAGGGAGATGAGAGTATCCACCCCAACATCCTCAGCCTCTGCCTCCAGGAAGGAGGACGTGACGGGGGGATTGAGGAGAACCTCAAAGTATTCCTTCCACCGCCCAACAAAATCCCCAGTCGAGGTCAGCAGCTCTCCACCTGCCCCGTACACGGTGTTGGCAAAGAACTGCTTCCCCCTCCTGAGGCGCCGGACGGTTTGCCAGATAATGCTTCATGGACTCTCCAAACTCCTCCCAGTCCCGGGTTTTTGCCTCTGCAACAGCCCGGGCCGCGGCACGCTTGGCCTGTCGGTACTGGACAGCTGCCTCAGGAGTCCCACAAACCATCATGGCTCGATAGGACTCCTTCAGCCTAACGGCATCCCTTACTGCCGGTGTCCACCACCGAGTTCGGGGGTTTTGCCGCCCGGACCAGCACCAGAGACCTTGCAGCCACAGCTACGAGCTGCCCCATCGCCGATAGAGGAAGAGAACACGGTCCACTCAGAATCGATGTCCCCCTCCTCCGCCGGGACCTGAGAGAGGCTCTCCCGGAGGTGTGAGTTGAAAGTCTGTCTGACAGGGGGCTCAGCGGGGCGTTCCCAGCAGACCCTCACTACACGCTTTGGTATGCCAGGTCTGGCCGGCTTCTTCCCCTGCCATCCAACTCACGACCAGGTGGTGATCTGTTGACAGCTCCGCCCCTCTCTTCACCCGAGTGTCCAAGACACACGGTCGAAGGTCCGATGATACGATGACGACAACAAAGTCAATCATCAACCTCCGGCCTAGGGTGTCCTGGTGCCACGTGCACTGGTGGACACCCTTGTGCTCGAACATGGTGTCTGTGATAGACAAACTGTGACTGGCACAGAAGTCCAACAACTGAACACCGCTCGGGTTCAGATCAGGGGGGCCGTTCTTCCCGATCACCCCTCTCCAAGTATCACTGGCATTTCCAACATGGGCGTTGAAGTCCCCCAGGAGAATAACGGAGTCCCCGGACTGTGCACTCTCCACTAACCTAGGCCTGGCTCCAGGTTGGGGCCCCGGCTGCGCCATGCCGGCCGACGTCACTGATCTTGTTAAAGTGCTGTCCATGGTTGGCTTCAGACTGCGCTTCATGGGAGACCCTACCAGGGGCATGAAGCCCCAGACAGCATAGCTCCCAGGATCATTCGAGTACTCAAACTCCCCCATCACGTTAAGGTGGCAGTCCAGGGTGAGCATGGTCAGTTATATTTTATTCTTTTATGTAGTTTTTACATTTTTTGTTCATAGGGACAAAGGAGAGAAGTTCATCCGATTGAGTGTGGAGAAAGGCGTCCTCTTTACTGGGGCGAAGTTCTCCGCCAGCATGGCCTGGAGGTAAGAGCTGTTTGAGAAATGTCACTGGTTAGCTTATTGTTAATTTAAGTTATCTGAAATTGACTTTGGGTCTGCATATTGTGTTCTTAACAATATGCCTCGCTGGCCTCGCTCTTTCTCTTCCCCTCCCCGCACGCACAAAGCTAACGCCCCCTCCTACTGCACACCCACTGTTGTTAACAGAGCTAGCGTCTCACAATATGGATCGAATCCATGGATATGGATTTGCACGTGGATGGCGTGACCATAGAACGATAGAACTGGGAAGCGCAGAGGAACGGGACTTTCATTTGGATGGCTGTTTCGCTGTGTTGGCAGTAAACTGTGACGAAGACAAGGAAGCTTCCGGTTAACTCCGCCGCCGTCAGCTGTCTGTGCTAACAGAGACTTGTGGCTTTTCTCAAGAAAGTGGGGGCTAGTGATCCGCTGTGATTGGTCACAATCTACGACCCGAAACACATTCTCTAAAATCTAAAATATAATGTCACGCCAGCACAAACCTGCGCTACTTTTTCTTAAGGACGTATATTCCAATGCACTGCATGGACATGGATAGCATTTTCGTAATGAATACAAAAATAAAGTCAGTTTTAATATATTAATATAAAGGCAGCTTTAATATATACATAACAGGGTGTTGACAAGCTGGTGCTATTCTCAAATACAACAGTCATCATAATGAAAAATCTATAAGCTGTAGAAGTGTATATCAATCATAACAAAAAACAAAAATGAGAAACATAACTATTGTTTTTGCATTAAAGTGATAGTATGTAATTCTGAATTAATTACACATTTTAAGAATTGTAGTAAATTGACCTCCTGGCCTTAAATGTTGATATAAATCAGAATCATTTGTATTGCCACGTAAGTAACAGGAAGTCACAGACTTGGAAATTGCTTTGGCTCAGTGCAACAGTCAGAAAGAGATAATAAAAAATAAAGAATAAAAAACACTTCTAAGGAATAAATTTGAATTTAAAATAGTTAGTTACTATTTACAATATACAAGTGCACATGGTGCACACAATGTAAGGTGACAGCAGTACAGTGAAGTAAAGTGACGTATGATGGGCAGTAAAGTGACTTAGAAAGGGCGGGGGACAGGTTAAGAAGTGTTCAAGAGTCCAACAGCAGAGGGGAAGAAACTGTTCTTGTGGCGGGAGGTTCTAGTCCTGATGGACTGCAGTCTCCGGCCTGAGGGGGAGTGGTTGGAATAGTCAGGTCCTGCAGCGATGGAAGACTGCGGCCGATCACTTCCTCTGCAGAGCGCACAATGTGCTGTAGTCTGTTTGTCCCTGACTGTGGCTCTAGCGAACCACACGGTGATGGAGGAGGTGAGGATGGACTCGATGACGGCCATGTAGAACTGCACATGGCCATGTAGAACTGCACATCTGTGCAGGCAGCTTGGCTTTCCTGAGCTGCCGCAGGAAGTACATCAGACGCACTCGCTGCTTCCTGTCTGTCAGGAAGTCAGTGATCCACCTGCAGGTGAAATCAGGCACGTTGAGCTGGGAGAGCTTGTCCTGGAGCAGGGATGGCAGGATCATGTTGAAGGCAGAGCTGAAGTCCACGAACAGGACCCTGGCATAAGTCCCCGGGGAGTCCAGGTGCTGTAGGATGTGGTGGAGGGCCAGGTTGATGGCGTCGTCTACAGATCTGTTGGCTCTGTAGGCGAACTGCAGGGGGTCCAGGAGGGGGGAGGTGAGGGACTTGAGATGGGAGAGGACCAGGCGTTCTAATGACTTCATGACGACAGACGTAAGTGCTACAGGTCTGTAGTCATTGAGTCCAGCTATCCTGGGCTTCTTCAGGACGGGGACAATGATGGAGGATTTGAAGCAGGCCAGGACATGGCAGGACTGCAGAGAGGTGTTGAAAATGTCAGTGAACACAGGAGTACGCTCACTGGTGCAGTGTCTGAGTGGCCGGAGACACGTGGTCCGGGCCACGAGCTTTGCGGGGGTGCAGCCTCAAGAAGAGTTGTTTAATATCTTTAGAGGCTATTGTCAGGGTGGGGGCAGGGCTGATGGGTGGGTCGTTAGAGTAGTGGGGGGTGGGGGAGGTGTCAGGGGCAGCATCAAAGCGACTGAAAAAAAAGTTCAGTTCATCAGCTAGCTTGTGGTCATCAGCACAGAGGGGGCTTTGGGCTTGTAGTTGATCTCCCGTAGGCCCCTCCAGACAGAAGCAGTATCGTTTTTACCAAACTGCTCCTTTAGTCGTTCTCTGTGCCGGGACTTGGCTGCTTTCAGTTCGTCCCTGAACTGATATTTAGCTGCTTTGTAGCCGCTGCGGTCCCCCTCCCTGAAAGCAGACTCCTTTGCTTTCCTGAGCTGCCGGAGTTTAGCAGTGAACCAGGGTTTGTCGTTGTTATAGATGACCCTGGTCCTTGTTGGATTGATGCTATCCTCGCAGAAGTGAATGTATGACGTCACAGTGTCCGTGTATTCATCCAAACTGTCTGTGGCAGCTCTGAAAAGGTCCCAGTTTGTAGATTCCATGCATGCGTGCAGCTCTTTCACAGCTTAATCAGACCACACTTTGGAGCTCCTCACTACAGGTTTCGAGAGCTTTAGTCTCTGTCTGTAAGCAGGGATCAGATGCATCATGGAGTGATCTGAGGAGAAGCCGAGGGCTGCTTTGGGAACAGCGCGAAAAGCACCGCGCACAGTGGTGTAACAGTGATCCAGAGTGTTCTCCTCTCTGGTCGGGCATTTGATAAACTCTCTGTATTTGGGTAATTCCTGGCTCAAGTTTCCCTTATTAAAATCCCCCAGGATAATAATCAGAGTCCGGGTATAAACGCTCCATACACATACTTGCTCTGCGAGTGCACGCTGAGCCTCGCGCATGGCGGTATGTAAACAGAGGCAAGAATGAATGAAACAGGGGGCGCTAGTGCTTTAAAACAGCTTTGCTTGTGTACAAGTCTCTCCATGGCCTCGCACCAAAATATATTAGTGACATGTTAGTCCCATATGAACCAGCCCGGACTCTGAGGAGCACAGGGACTGGACTCCTGTTAGTGCCCAGAGTCAGAACTAAACATGGGGAGGCTGCTTTTCAGATCCATGCTGCTAAAATCTGGAACAATCTTCCTGAAGATGTGAGACAGGCCTCCTCTCTGACAATGTTTAAAACCAGGTTAAAAACGGTGCTGTTTAGCTGTGCATACAACTGAGGGATTTTATATTTTTATCTTTTGTTTTAATGTTCTGTAATTATTTATGATTTTAATGCTATCTTGTTCAGCACTTTGAGTTGCCTTGTGTATGAATTGTGCTATACAAATAAACTTGCCTTGCCTTGCCTTGCCTTGCCTAGTGCGCAGGCATAGGATGTAGACGTGTTTTGTCAGTGCTCTCCACCAAAATTCTGAATAACCTCAAAATACACCACTAAAGGACTCTCAACAAGCAACTACCACTGCTTCTATGTATTTCTCACGTCGTGTGCATCACTTTTTTGGAAAATGCCACCGAAGACCAGCGCTTCAAGCAAGTCCAGAACCATGGAAGGGTATGTTGGCAATGCTACTGCTAACGGGGCTAATGCAGGCTGGGCTAATGCTAACGCTGGCCGCCAGAATGAGCCAGCTCAAACACCCAACGCAAACCCAGGGGAAGACGAGACCTATGCTGTGTGTAGAGAGATGTGCAAGGAAATGTCTATGTCCATCTTGGGGAAGATTGATGAGCGTTTTGATGCATTTGACACAAGATTTGAGACCCTTCTCTCTGAGCAAGCTAACTTGAGAGAAAGACTGGACAGTCAAGAGCAAGCCACGTGTAGCCTTGATCTGCGGGTGACAACTCTGGAAAATAAATATGAGGCACTGACTAAGCATGCAAGCCAGCTACAAAATAAGCTTCTAGACCTTGAAGCTCGCTCACGCAGGCACAATATAAAAATAGTTGGCATTGAAGAGGGGACAGAAAGAGGCAATCCAACTGATTTTGTCTCCAGACTGATCCCAGAGCTTGTGGGAAAGGAGCACTTTCCACGTCCTGTGAAAGTTGACCGGGCGCACCGCACAGCACAACAAGCCCAACCGGGCAAATCACGGACTATCTTGGCCCGGATTCATCACTTTCAGGAGAAAGAGCTGATTTTGCAACCCAGCAGAATACAACAGGGATTTGAGTACAACGGGAAAAAGGTTCTGATTTTCCCTGACTACACCAGTGAAGTGATCACCCAAAGACGTGCCTTTCGAGATGTGATGCAGACCCTCCGGGACCACAAGATCAAGCACACACTTCGCTACCCAGCAAGGCTCCACGTGTACTGGCGTAATGGGGAAGCACCTGCAATCTTCAATGATGCCAAAGAGGCGGCTTGGTCCTTGGAGCAACACAAGTCCTCCGAAAAGGAATAAGAGGTGACTTAATCTGAGTGTGATGCATATTCAAAGTGAGAATAGAGACTTCACTTAATGCTGTCAAATGCAGTATTTTATGTTAATGAAACATGACTGAGTAGTCCCATTGGTTGAGTTTTTAAAACTTAAAAGGTTAGCACAGTGGTGATTTGTTTACTCAAATAAGATATGGTGGGGGGAATGTTGAGAGCGTCAGAGCGTCGTTATGACCTGTCCGGCAGTTCCTATGTGGATGAAGATGGGAATCCATGCGTCAAGTTCCGGGAGACGCATTTGGGACTGGGGGGACTCGGGGTGTTATGTTCTTCTAATTGTTAATGTTCTATGGCTCAGGTGCTCTTGTTTCATTGTAATCTTAATGTTGACAGTGCTGAATATTTGTTTTGTGCTCTTTCATCCCTGCATTTTCTTTAGCTCATTCTTAAAAAATGCATAGGACGCAGGGTATTGCACAGGCAGGAAATAGAGTTTTACATTTAGTTTCATGGAATGTTAAAGGGCTTGGAAGTGTTGTGAAAAGGGGGAAAGTGTTTAAACATCTCAAGTCTTTGTCAGCGGATATAATTTTCCTCCAGGAGACTCATATTAAAGCGGCAGTACAACATAGACTAAAATGCAGTTGGGCATCTCAAATAAATCAGTCTCCGTTCACTTCAAGTGCCCGTGGTGTGGCAATACTGTTTAAAAAAGATGTTCCATTCCAGCTGACCTCTGTTATCAATGATCCTTTTGGCAGATTCTTGATGATATCTGGGTCAATAAACTCTGTTCACCTTACTCTTCTGAATGTTTACGGCCCAAACACAGATGAACCCAACTTTTTTACCAAAATCTTTAACTTGCTACCAGATGACAATGACTCAAATATAATAATTGCTGGAGATCTAAACTGTTATCTTGATCCCTATTTAGATCGTTTGTCTTCACGCCCTCCTCCAGACATTGCCTCTATACGCACTCTAAACAATCTTATGAAAGCTAGAAATGTGGTTGATATTTGGAGAATTCAGCATCCTACAGACAGAGAGTATTCATTTTATTCAAATGCGCACAAGTCTTACAGTCGAATAGACTACTTCTTAACCAGTTCTAATCTTATTTCTCATGTCTCCAATTCTAAATACCATAATATCTTAATCTCGGATCATAGCCCTTTAGTAATATCTCTTGATCTCTCCCTACCGAAACAAACTTACTCATGGCGCTTCAATCCAACTCTAATTAGCGATGACAACTTTGTGAAACACATCACTGCAAAATTAAAGGACTTTATTGAACTTAACGATAACAATGAAGTGTCAGATTCAACACTATGGGAATCATTAAAGGAATAGTTCACCGTTTTTACATACTGACATATGTTCTTACCTTACCTTAGACTAGTTAATACGTACCTGTCTGGTCTTAGTCCGTGCGCTCTGTCATGCAAACGGAGCAAAAACGGGAGCACAAACACAGCCTCCTCTGTATACTGTGTAGGACCAAAAGGTAGCTCCCGCTAGAAGCTACCAAACTCTTCCAAGTGTTCCCTATTAAATGTATATAGTTACGTGACGTGTTACACTGCAAAGTAACTGCACTAACTTCTCTCCGGAGACTTCTCTCTCGCTCACTTCCGTCAATAGAAGCAGCGTGACTTGTAGTACGGAGAGAAGTTAGTGCGCGGACGTAGCGCTCCTCAGATTACTACGCCTCACAATATAGTACCCGTTTTATCCGCTGAGAAAATCGACAGTTACATTTCTGTGTTACTATACTTTGCAGTGTAACACGTCACGTAACTATATACATTTAATAGGGAACACTTGGAAGAGTTTGGTAGCTTCTAGCGGGAGCTACCTTTTGGTCCTACACAGTATACAGAGGAGGCTGTGTTTGTGCTCCCGTTTTTGCTCCGTTTGCATGACAGAGCGCACGGACTAAGACCAGACAGGTACGTATTAACTAGTCTAAGGTAAGGTAAGAACATATGTCAGTATGTAAAAACGGTGAACTATTCCTTTAAAAGCTGTTATCCGTGGTGACATAATATCCTACACCTCAAATCTTAAGAAAGTTAAAAAAAAAGAAGACCCAATGAGATTAATACCACACTCCCAGATCTGGAGAGAAAATACCAAATTTCAAAATCTCCTGATAATTATAGAAAAATATTGAAGCTTAAATATGAATATAGTAGCATTATGAGTGATCAAGTTAACAACTTAATATTGAAACTTAGGCAAAAGCACTTTGAATTGGGAGATAAACCAAGTAAACTGTTAGCACAGCAACTTAAGGGCTCCCAAGCCTCCAGAGCAATTAATAAAATTATGTCTAAATCAGGTACTATTCTAACAAACCCCTCAGATATAAACAACTGTTTCAAGGAATTTTATGAGGAACTGTATTCTTCTAAGCAGCATGCAGAACAGTCCCATTTAAATGATTTTTTTGACCCTCTCTCCCTACCTAGGCTGGATGATGCTGCCAGGGACCATCTTGATTCTGAATTTACATTGCAGGAAGTCATCACAGCCATAAAATAATTCCCATCTGGCAAGGCATGTGGACCTGATGGATTCAGCTCTGAATTTTTTAAGAAATTTTGCGATGTCCTTGCTCCACTCCTGCTCAGGATGATAAAAAATTCTAAAAGTGAAGGGAAACTGCCAAACACATTATATGAAGCAAACATCTCTCTCATTTTAAAAAAGGGCAGAGATTTCTCAGACCCGGCTAACTTCAGGCCAATTGCGCTTCAAAATTTTGATCGCAAAGTTATGACAAAAATGTTAGCAACTAGACTGAATAAGTACCTAACAAATATAATTCATCCTGACCAGACGGGATTCATCCCTGGCAGACTCTCCTTTTCTAATGTTAGGCGTCTACTTAATACCATTTACTCTGACCATAGTAGCTCAAAAGGAGCGGCAATCTTATCTTTAGATGCACATAAGGCTTTCGATCAGGTGGAGTGGCCCTATATGTTTGAGTCATTGCGGAGGTTTGGGCTTGGTGAAACATTTATATCTTGGGTTAAACTAATATATGCAAATCCACTGTGTTCTATTCTAACAAATGGTAATAGGTCTGCACCTTTCCCCCTACAGCGTTCTGTTCAGCAGGGGTGCCCGTTGTCTCCTGCTTTGTTTGCTATATATAGCATTGGAACCCTTGGCTGTAAAAATAAGAGCACATTCACGGATACAGGGTCTCATTGTTGGAGGTGTGGAGACTCATTAGTTTGTATGCTGATGATGTGATCCTGTATTTGCGCAATGCTGAGGAGTCGGTTGCTCCCCTTCTTGATTTAGTCGCATGTTTTGGCAAAATATCTGGTTACATAATTAACTGGATGAAAAGCGAGTTTATGCCACTGTCTCAGGCTTCAACAAACTTTCTAAAAAATGTTCCATTTAAAGTAGTCAATGACCATTTCACTTATCTGGGGCTAGTTATTCCAAAAAACCCTAAATTGATTTTTAAATTAAATTTTGTAGAGTTTGTAACGGGACTAAAACAAAATATCGAATTATGGAAGATTCTCCCTCTCTCTATGGTGGGTCGAATTAAATCCATAAAAATGGTTTCCCTTCCTAGATTTTTGTACTTGTGCCAAAATTTACCTATTTGTCTAACATCTGCCTTTTTCAGAGATTTAGACTCGTTAATTATTTCCTATATTTGGAATAACAAAAATGCAAGGATTTCCAAGATACATCTACAAAAATCTAAAGCAGAAGGGGGGCTTGGTTTGCCAGTGTTTAAGCATTTTTACTGGGCTGCCATCCTCAGGGCGTTAATGTTTTGGAGGAAGGCATCCCCTGGCAGTCTGGATTCAAGTGCCCCCTTGTGGCTGAAAATGGTGGTCGGATCTGTAAATGATTCATCTTTGGATGCAATTCTCTATTCTAAATTTGACAAATCTGAATCTTTTAGAAATCAATGTTTTGTTTTGAAGCAGTCTATTCGGATTCTAAACCAGGTCAGGAGTTTTTTGGCCCTACCAAATACCTCTGTTCAAACACCTATTTGTTATAACCATTCATTTTTGCCTCCTTGGAATGACAGATATTATCATGACTGGAGCGAGAGGGGCTTAACTGTACTTGAAGATTTGTACATAGATGGTGAATTTGCATCATTTGTCCAGCTGAAACAGAAGTACAATCTTTCTCATTCAAATTTTTTTCGCTACTTGCAAGTCAGACACTATACATCCAATCTAGAATTCCAAATTTTAGAGAGCTTCCTATGGAACACGATTTGTATCATGTTATTAAAAGCCCTTCTCGCTCCAAACATCTTATTTCAAAGATTATAAATGTATTCAATAATGGAATCAGGCCAAGTACAGTGAAGATCAGAAACACATGGAGTGAGGATCTTGGTGTTGAACTGTCTGAACGTGTGTGGGATAAATGTTTATCTAAGATTCACTCTTGTTCTATTAACAGCAGACATCAATTAATACAATTCAAAATTGTCCATCGTTTACATTATTCTAAATTCAGATTGCATAGAATTTATCCCACAACGTCGCCCATTTGTGACAGGTGTAACTCATCAGAGAGCACCCTGGCGCATGCTTTCTGGTCCTGTTCTTCATTGTACAGCTTTTGGGGAAAAGTGTTCAACTGGTACTCCAAAGCATATGGGATAAATGTTTCCCCTGAACCATGTCTTGCCATGTTTGGACTCTCGGACAATAAGAACTTTCCAGCTATAATGCAGACACCATTGGAACTGGGGACGATGGTTGCAAAAAACTTATTCTAAGGGAGTGGAAATCCTCTGCTTCTCCATCGTTTAAAGTGTGGCTCTCTGAAATGCTCCTATTGATAAATATGGAGAGGATGAGGTCCTTACAGTCCTGTTCGATCAATAGATTTTCTAATATGTGGGATCCATTTATGGCTCATCTTGAAACAAGTAATTTTGACTTGTACTGTGTCATTACTATATTTCCTTCCTGTTATTTTTATTATTTTTGTATTTGTCAACATGTAGAA